AATCCAGCCATTCCCGTGTTTGCTAGATCGTCATGTTTAAATCATGTTGAATCATATTAAATCCCAATTTTCGGATCACCATTTCCCTATAAATTGAAAGTTAAATCTCCATCAATGCCAATTTTTGCTGGTTGGATCATGATCCCAAGTTTTGATGTTTTAAATCCACAGCTTGGGGTGTGTCTCAGAGTCTGGGCATCCGATCCCTTGGTTCGTCACTAGTTTTCCATTAAGTTCCAAAAAAAAAGCCAGAACTTCGGATAAATCCCTGTTTTGAGACAAGCTCATTTGATATCATTTTAATTAATTTTGCTGCTTAAATTTGCATCAAGGCATCATATACATTTATGACATCCCAATTTGAGATGCCCCTTTGTTGCTTTTGTTGTGAAGTTGTCAAGAAAAATCAATCCATTCCCATGTTTGATAGTTCAATCCTACTGTATTGTGTGCTGGTTACATCCCATTTCTCTTGATGGTTTGACGGTTGCATCCACATTCATCTTGCCATTAAATTAAATCCCAGTTTTTGCTGGCGAACCCGTTTAGATCGACGTGTTGAATTGCTCAAATCCATCAAAAATCCAAGGTTTTCTCAATTCTTGGAGGGTTAAATCAGCTTAAATCACTATTTTCATCCGTTTTTCAATAGTTAAATCAGCCTAAATCCGAATTTTCAATGGCTAAATCCCAATTTTCGATGGTTAAATTGCAATTTTCAATGGCTAAATCTCCATTTGAAGCCAGGCTCTTCTTCAACAGCACCTCCGCCTCGCTGGCGCCATGGCCCAGCTCCAGCGCTCCGAACAACCGCCGCGGGCGGAAGTTGCAGCGCCGCGTGCTGCGGCTGATGGCACGGAACAGCATGGAGGTAGCTGGGTACCGGGCAAATAAGGGGGTGATAGGGGATGTATATTTGTGTGGTGAGAACATGAGAGAACTGTGGGCTATAGATATGACAGAAAAACATATATGGGTTGTGGTGGTGGGGGGAGAGAGAGATCAAATGAACACATGAATACGTATTTTTTTTAAATAGATCCATATGTAAAAACTGCATATATATATTATTGGTATCAACATCTTTTTTATTATTAGTATCAACATCATTGTTTTGATATTGATATATATATATATATTGATGATTTTCTACGAAACTGTTCTATAAGTCTTATTTAAACTGTAGAAGAAGATGCGGTAGCCTCGAACAAAATGGTTGGTCAGCCGAATGTGAGAAAGGTCGACCTCACTTCCCAACGGTTGACAGCGTGGAATTCAGGAGTTGGTGTGGGCCTTCTTGCTGCTGATGGACAAGAATGTCGGGGAAGCGGCTTGCCGGATTGCACCCATGTCATCCCATGTCCCAGTCATCCCCGTATTTACAGTGGTGAAAATCACCAGAATTCCCATCATCATTGGATTGGTTTAAGGGAAAATTTACAGGAAACCATGGTTTTTACCATTAAATATTGGGTTTTCCTGTAAATTTTCCCCTAAACCAATCCATTGACATCAGCGGATTCGTCAACACCTCCACTGCCCAGCTCCTTGGAACCTCAGGTGGAAGCGGTGCAGGACCAGCTACCACACCCCAGTGGCTGGTCCTTGGCGCGCGCCACAGCCTTCTGCGGACCGCAGTTCTTGGCGTGCATGGCCAGTCCCAACTGTCACCTGGTGGGCCTGGGGAGCTGGGACCTGGAGATGGCTGGTGGTGGAGGAGTGTTTTTTTTTTTAGTTGAAAAATAGATTGGACCCAAGATCAGCTGAGCAGTTTGCGATTCCGTTCTGGCCAATTTGGTGGTTTTTATATGTTTTTATATGTCTTTATTGGCAATCTCCTAATTTTTATCCGTGTTTGATTATTTATGTCACATCATGTCATGTCGCGCACATCCATCTAGAGAAAAATTGGTCCGTCCATCTGCTAAGCCTAAGCCACTAAGGTATGAAGGGTTTGTTCTGCGTGGCGCGATGTCATTTGGATGACCAGACTTGCCACTGGGCATGAATTTCGACTTCAGAAGCCAAGGTTTTCCACATCACCAGGTTTTCCACATTACCAGAACAGATGGCCATCCCAAACTTTGGTGTAAGGCTGGCCATGAGACACTTTCTGAAGGTTTCTGATCAGGCTTCACTAGTTTTTGCGGAAATAAAGCATGACCAGCCACGTTTGAGATGTTTCACGCAGGCAGCTATCGATGCCTTTTGAAGTACGATAGCTGGTTGATCACCAAGTTCTCCTCCTGCGCATTCCAGAAGCAGTTGCTTAGCATGACGCGGCGGGCCTCTTGTGCGGCTGTGGAAAAGTTGGCGCAAACAAGCTTTGAGACTGCCTAAACATGCCTAAACTTCAATCCTACGTATTGTTGAGGCTTGTTCTTTTGCGGTACATCCCGGCATGTCGACATATATTTGGAATTATCTGAAAAGGGGCCCCTGGAAAATGACATGTGGTCACGTGATACAGGACCAGCCAGGTCCTGCAGGTTGATGTACGTCCAGCGCTTGGAAGTCTTGGGATATTGAAAAACGTGCTCGGTGTAGTACAGTGGATATCAATGGATATCATACTGCGGAATGAACGACATTAGATGACAAACAGCTGGTGCACCCGCAGGAGGTACTGTATGTACCGCTAGCCACCCGTTTTAAACACATATAGTTGCAGATGTATGCAGAGCTGAGCTCGTTTGCAAAGATCAAGTGTCATGGTTGGCGAGTTTCCCACTCAGGGATTTTGAGATTTTAAGCATCACCCTGCCATGGGTGTTGATAGCAATTCCCTCGGTGATTGTGTGATGTTCAAAGGGTACCTGGGGTACCTGGCTCACTGGCCCTGAATTTTCAGCCAAGGAATGTCATGAACTTCCATGCCGCACGTCCCAAGCTGCCGCACGTCAAGCCAGTGGAAGCTGGGCTGGCAGACTTCCAAAGCAAGTTCGCCCTGGAAATGGCGGGTGATCACTGTGATAACCAGAACATTGTGAATCTGAACCAACAAAGACTAAGATCACTAAGGCAGGAATGATGGGATACAGTATCTCATGATATCTCCTAAAAATGCCATGGGCCATGGATGGTTTCCAAGTTTCCAAGATTTAGATTAGATATTTCAACCCTGCCTGGGATGATGTTCCCCAATGATGTTGCGGTGGGACCCACAAGAAGATTGGCATGGAAGCCCAAAACGTGTCCGTTACCAAAAGGAAGAATGTCAACCCCGGATTACGGTAATAACACCATACAAAGCCCTCGGTTGTCAAAATTGGGGGGAGGTACCATTTGAGTAGCAAAGTATCACTGTTTGAGGAGACACCTCCAATCACTCTAATCAACTACGGTCTATTACTCCGAGGTTGACATTCGGCATTTTCCAAATCCAAGTCTGATCTCGACGGTTGTCCATGTTCGGACAGATGCACATGTCTCATCAGGTTTCATTTTCGCGGAAAGGGACGGTTGTACCCCAAGTACACTGTATATACCAATCATCATCAATGCATATCGAATATGTCCAAAAGAGTTTTGCAAACGCAAACTGTCTTTCCCATAATGAGAAAGTGCAGAGAGGACGGGGAGGTTCTGTCGAGGTTCTGCCCATAACCATGCACCGCTGCATCCAAATGAGACTTGGAATGTTTTTGTAAAAACAAACATCATTCGCAAGTGAGAAAGCGGCACAGCATCAGCATCAGCATGATCGGGATATATCGGGATGATCATCTTCCCCGGACTTTGGTCATCCGTTACACTTGTGGCCGGCTACCTTCTTTCATTTTTCTGACAGAAAGATGTGTGTTGATATTCCAAAGGGTGCCGGTAAAAGCAAGACGTCTTGCTCCAATCCAAAAGGATGACATGGGATCATAATTTTCATCCAGCATTTTCATCTCTACATGGTTTCGGTATGTTTCGGTTATTGTGGGTTGAGTTATTGGTCACCAGGCTCCTGATCCCCTTCTGTTGGAACAATGCTTGGGATGATGCCGCAGTAGCCACCTCTTGGGAGTCACGAGCTTCAGCAACCAAGGAAGCTTTGACAACACTCAGCTGAACGTGCGGGCAGCTACGCGGATCTTAATGGGTCACGCCAGCAAGCAGAAGTACAGCTGGATGGTGGCAGCTGCTTCGAGTGAGGCCTATGCGCAGTTTAGCTTGCAGTATCAGATCCTTGGCAGCGACGCGCGAGTTAGTTCTAGTTTACAGGGGGAGAATTGTGTGCGTGTTTTCTGTGGTCAGGCAGCCCTAACCTCAAATATGATATGTAATGATATGATAATATGATATATATATATGATATATATCATATATCTATATAGGCCCATTGAAAGACATTTTAGTTTTGGGCGGGCCCTGCTTTTGATCAAATTCCTGTGACACAGATTTGGCGTCATTTTTTTGTGCTATGTGCTTTGGTGTTGCATTTTTGATCTCAAACTATGGTCTGCATCATGTTTTTTGGCGCGCGTCGTGTTTTTAGGCAAGACCAAAAAAAGACATCAAAAGTTGACCCAGGTATATATAACTATATATATATATATATAGATACTATATATATATTAATAATCATTAACATATATATATATATATATGTGTGTGTGCATGTATACATCCTCACTCGAGAACTGAGATTCTTTGTTGAGCAGCAGGTGTCAAGTCCATTTCATGTATGGGAACGTTGCTGGAAGAATTCAGGGCTGCAAGTTTGTTTGATTGCAACCCGCTGTGTAGTTTGATCCAAGGATTTGGTACTATCGCAAAAGTGTGCGGAGGTTGTACTACAAGGCGCGTCTCTGTTGGGAAATGGGGTTGGGCCAGTGTGGTGCTTGGATTTTGCCTTTTTTCAGACCTTGTTGTACCTCTGACATCCTCTGACTTTATGACTTGTTTGACTTGTTTTTACCTCAGGACTGTCACTTCTGTATCACATTTTGGTTCTTGACACGGCTTGATCTGCTCACCCCACCTGTGCCAGGCTGTTTTCCTTGCTGAGGGTCGCGATGGCCGAGACTCCTGGCACTCGCGGAGCTACCAGGTGCTGCCGCTGCGGACGCCGGGCAGCTGGCTCTTCGCGGCCAATGACGGAGGGGTCCAGCTGCGGGAGCATTGGTACCTTCTGGGTGCAGAGCCATGGAATGATTGGAGTGGCAGAAGTCCGGGTAGGAGCATCCATATTGGCGCCAGGAAGCTACAAGATATCTAAACATGGCTGGAGTGGAGTTTGAATGGCTGCTGGTACCATTTTTAGTGGCTGAGATGAAACTTGAGTTTCGACAAAATCTGATGCCCCGAGCATCTTATAGTTGAAAATCAGCAAGAAGATTGAGCACGTTTTGTCCCAATTGACCGTTTCTGCAACCTGACCCCTCTGAGTATGCCAAACCCTGGCTCAGGATGCGTCACTTCGATGGATGGTGCTGTACTTCACGGGCTCCGCAAAGAAAGCTGGTATGGCCTACAGGGGCTGTGGCCCGGCATCGACATGGGTTGGTTGCAAGAGGTATTAGAGTTATTAAAGCACCTGCTCATGAAATGGGTTTTTAAAGCAACTGGGTATAATGATTAAAAAAACCGCTTGATTTTTTGGGACCCTATAGTGTTTCCAAACAAGATCCGATCTTAAACTTCGTGAAGCCATGAATTTGCCACGATATCGTTGGTTTTTGAGGGATTCTACTTTTCTTTGTAGGGTCCGCAAGATTTGGGTGATTCGGTTTGGGTGAACATTAATACCCTGGTGTGTACATCCCATAGGCAATAAACACACTAGCCAGGTATGTTGCTGACGCCCGATGGTCAAGTGCCGGGGCGAAGCATGATGCCGATCATCGCGCAAGCCTTGGCCCGGGCGGAAATGCAGCCGTGGCGGCCCCAGGGGCAGCAGGTGGCGGCAGGTGGCCACCAACATCAGGGAAAAGTTGTGGATGGAAGGCCAAAACAGTGGGCACCTGCAAGACTAAATAGTCTTGGTATGTGACAAAAAACTTGAAGCTTCCCTAAAATCTCACCGCATCTTATATCAAAGAGACATGAAGCTCCCTGAGTATGACCAGTGAAAATTGGCACTTCCCAAACCAAAAGCCCGGCTGAAGGTGGGAGCTGCGACCGGTGAACAACACTGTGAATCACACAGCAGGGCCGCCACCACTAGAGGTGTCCAAGTAGAGACAGGCCTTGACTAGATTGGGCAGCTGCGAAGTGGAAACTCCATTGGCTTTTTGCACATGTGGGCATTCGTTGTACGGAAGCAAAGAAAAACGTGACCTATCGTTTTGAGATCTTTTTTTTGTGGTTTTGCTCCAGGATAATGACAATGTCTTTTTTCTTTCTACACTCCTTTGTTACAGACTGCTTTGGAGGGTGCAGCTTCGAGTCTTAGTGTGTACAGGTGCACAGTGGTGACGGTGTCTGATTTTTAATGATTCCAAAAAGGAGCTTGGCCCGCGGGATCGGCCACAAAACGAGTGCGTGGAAGCACTCAGCTTAGTGTTTTAGGAGGGAAGGAGCGGCATCCTCCAACGGCCATTCCAAAGAGGATGGCTGATTCCTTCCCAGATATTGGAGAAACAAAGACAAGAGATAAAGAGATCCGTTGCCTGGTGGATTTCTTGGCAGCGGGAGGTTTCAATGCCTGCTGTGACCCTTGCTACTAGAAGACTAGTCTCTGGTTCCATAAGCAGATGAATCAAGTGGGCCCCGGAATTGTTTTGGACTACAGGTCAGAGGCTCCTAATTGAACAGCACTTCAGAAATCTTCAGAATAAGTATCACAACATCTAGTGTCTCACGTTAGTTTCGTACCAGGATGTCATCGGATGTATCCCAGTATCACAATGAAACCCGCAACATCTTGGCCTGGTCCAGGTTGTGTGATTTGCTGAGAACGGCGATGCAGAAGCCGGGACTTTCGAGGTAGATTCAGAAGCCACGGAGCAGATACCCTCTGGTAATTTAACATAGCTATTGAAAATGGCCATTTATAGTGATTTTTCCATTGAAAATGGTGATTTTCCATAGTTATGTTAAATTACCAGAGGGTACTATGCAGAAAAGAAGGACACTTTTGTACGTGCCTTCAGGCGATTCCCCTGGAGTCAGCAGATGGTTGACGTACAAAAATTGACATATTTGAACTGCTCGCATCACATCACCCACCGCAATCAGAATTGAAAAAGGCAGTATCTCACTTATCTCGGCACGTGCTGGCTTGGAGTGGTAACATCTATAGACTGAAGAGACCATTGCGTGCAAAATCGCGTGAAATACAAACTTCTCATAGACTCTCCCAGCTGGAAATACAGTAAAGCAACACCACGTTTTGGAGTCACAAGCACTTCATGCTGTTTGAGGCATCCAGGATAGTTCCGGGCTCCTTCGTCTTGAACCGCCGTTCCATCGATTCAGATTTTTAGACTCAGAGATGAGGGTTTCTGAGTGCTCAGCCCATGGCTGCCCATGGTAGGGCCGTTTGGCGAGACTGAGCTTGCACGACTCATCATGACCTTGAAGGTTTGGCCTGCGGGGGAACCATGGGCTGAAGTAGAGAGCCCTCCGTCATTTTCAAAGGAAATGAATGGAGGGAATGTGGCAGGCGGTTCATCGCGAGCGATTCCCCAGTGGAAGATGGGAGCGCATGCCTGTGGGCTGTGGCATTGCCAGCGGGATGGGTGCTTGAGCAGGCTATCAGGCTATCATTACCTGAGGGATTCTTGCTTCAAATGAGCATTGTCATTGGACGTCTATACTTAAACTTAAATCAAGGGACAACATTTTGTATTTCACTTCAGACCTGAAGACAAAGCTAGCTATTCAAAGATGGGAATCCACAGCAGTCAAACACGCCCGCCCCCCGGGACGTGCTGAAGCTGTTTGACATTGTTTGACCACCAGCATGATTGCATTGCACACAGCTTGGAAAGATGACCATAGCACAGAGGCATACAGAGGCTAGAACCGCATGAACCTAGAGTCTGTGGTGGCGATGACGAAGAAGAAGACGACGACGACAATGATGGTGACGCCGCTGATGATGACGATGACGATGACGGCGAGGACAATGACGGCGAGGACGATGGCGAGGACGATGATGATGACGATGGTGATGATGATCCCTGATTTCTTGCAAGAAACATCCGCAATAAACCCTCTATTTTTGTCCTGCGAAGAAACATAGTTTTAGGGATTTTCCCACAACAACAGCCCAGTGAGATGACGATGAGTCGCATGATAGCCTGCGCTCCCGTGTTTTTTCTCCTCTGTGCAGCTGAGTCCAGTGTGATATCACCTGCTGTGGCTCAAGTTGCTGGGGTAGCATCTGCAGTGTTTCACTGCAGGCGCGGGTGCTTCAGATGCTGTGAGACTCAGAGATTGGGTGGTCATGTTTAGAATTGAAATGGGCATGGGTCAAATCCTATTATCACCATATGATATCATATGACTGTTTGAATAAACATCCATTAGCCAGCTATTGTAGGGCATTTACTGTAGGGTACCAGGGTTTTGACACATAGCCGATTCAACGATCACCTTTTTTTGGGGGGGTGGGGTAGGGCCAACATGAGAGAGGCGGTTCCTTCGGGACGATGTCTACATGGTCAAGGCACCTGGGGACCCTGAAACACATGGGATACTTTGAAGATCTACCATCAAAAGGAGAATTTAACATGATTTTAACATGATTTTAACATGATTTTAACATGATTTTAACATGATTTCAACCATCATGAAATGACGTGACATGATTGAAATCTTTCGGATCCCTTGCTCTAATTTTGACCCATTTTTGACCCATTTCCAGGGTAGTCTGAGATGTTCCATGCTTGAGATCCGGGAAGCTCAAGCAGCAACTGTTCAACATAGTCAGCACTTTGACCTGAACTTGGCAAGTTCGGATTTCAAATGAAGATGTATCACTTTGACCAGCTTGAAAGCTATGTTGGTTTCACAACCCTGGCTTTTCCAACCCGGATGAGCTGAGCTGATTTGAGGACGGGGACGCTGATCAACCAAAGTTCACCAATGCCCGAAATTGGTTTTCCTACCGCAAGTGTTTCACCTTGATTGAAACACCTCTCGAACCAGGTATTTTCCAGTTCCAACTTTTCCCCTCCAGGTAGCCTTAGAGAAGCACACATGGCAATGGAAAATCCCTGAAACTCCAACCGTTTCATACTTTTTCCATCTTTTTACTGGGAATAGCCGATTGAATAGCCATCGTTTGTAAAGTCCCTAGGGCCCAATCGGAGTTCCGAAATGGGCCGTTCCCAGGGAAGTTCGCACCGCGCCAGGATGTCTTCCGCACGTTTCAGCAAGGAAGATACTGAGATGTCCTCGGTGGGACCTGGGTCTGAGAGCCCGGTCGGACTCCGGGACCGTTGGAAAAATCCCAGGTTTTCGGCAAAGTTTCCTGCAAAGCTTGGGCAAGAATCCTTGTTTTTGTTTAAAATAAATATCTTATAGCATATCCATCTGTTTTTTTAATTAAATAAATATCTTATAGACTTCTTATAGCATATCCCAGATTCTGGGTTCAACACGGTTTAACCGTTTATATATGGATTTGTTTCTGGACTGACCAGGAGGAAAAAAAACTGCGTTGAATCAGCAGAGAGGCCTTGATCCCTAGGCTTTTTCGGCCCAATCGAGCGGGCCTTAGCCCATTTCTGTGACCGGAGTTCTAAGTCCGGATATTTTGTAAGGAACTCAAATAGCTTCATGATAGATATGATAAATGATGATTCTATTGAAGAACATGTAAAATAAGGGACCCTCAGGTCAAGTTCGAAGGTTTAGAGCCAGCTCAAACAGTTTCCAGACAAATTCGCACGGATGGGCACCACACCTAGGGTTCTAATCCTTCTCTCAATTCTACCTGAACTTTTTGAAACTCTTGACTCAGAGGTGAGACACACTTTCCCAGCAGCAAGCCTTGGCCGTGTGGCCTGATTGAGCCAGACTTGGTCCAAGTGAACGAATACATGAAACTTTAATGTTCCACGTTTTATGGAGGTAAACTTACGTATATACACTATGTGTTTCCCCTCACTAGGTTTTAACATGTTTTAACTTGTTTAGCCAATGTTCCATCAATATCATTCATGTCCCCATCATTCCGATCATTCCCCATCGATATTTGATTCTGATGGGAAATCCCATCGCAAAAGTGATGTCAATTTGCTCAGCAACCAATGCACATTTTTGATGGTTGAATCCCTGCTTGATGATACCCGAAGTTTGATTGGTCACAAACCCACCCTGGATACAAGTTGTCAACTACCATCTTCCTCCCTCCAAAATGATCAGTTGTCAACTTCCTTATCAGATTTATAAACCACAAATTCTCACCCATACCCTACTAATCACCATTTTGTCCATGGGAATCCATGATATTCATGTGAGGTCTTACGAAATTCCGACCACCATGGACGAGCACGCTGTGTCTATTGCCCCCAATGGCGAGCGTTTCATGGAGCCAATAGCGCGGGGGTGGAGTTGGTTTGGGGGGGCGGAAATGGTGGATGGGAGGAGCAAACTGTCGGTTTTGAACTTTGAACCATCCGAAAGTAGGGGTTTAGAGATGGTTAGAGGCAGAATCTTTGGTTTAACGGTTTGAGTATTGAAATCAAACCTGGGGAATTGACCAAGAAAAATCAATCAATGAAGAGATGGTGACAGGCTGGTGGGTCAACATTGCTTTGGCGCTTAAGGAGACACAAACTCCATGGAGAGTTTATCAGATCATCCGATTTTAGCGTGCAAATTCGACCCATTGGTTCCATCATCCCAGTGCCAGGGGATTTCCTTGTCATAACATTTCCTTGTCATAATCTCCCGGCCCCATGAAACATATACGCATACTTCTATTAGGGGTTTCATTTAGGGTTTACACAAGTTATCATAAGTTATAAAATATCCCGGCCCCATGAAACATATACGCATACTTCTATTAGGGGTTTCATTTAGGGTTTACACAAGTTATCATAAGTTATAAAATATCCCGGCCCCATGGAACATATACGCATACTTCTATTAGGGGTTTCATTTAGGGTTTACACAAGTTATCATAAGTTATAAAATCTCCCGGCCCCATGGAACATATACGCATACTTCTATTAGGGGTTTCATTTAGGGTTTACATAAGTTACAAAATCTCCCGCCCCATGGAACATATACGCATACTTCTATTAGGGGTTTCATTTAGGGTTTACATAAGTTATAAAATCTCCCGGCCCCATGGAACATATACGCATACTTCTATTAGGGGTTTCATTTAGGGTTTACATTATCATAAGTTATAAAATCTCCCGGCCCCATGGAACATATACGCATACTTCTATTAGGGGTTTCATTTAGGGTTTACACAAGTTATCATAAGTTATAAAATCTCCCGGCCCCATGGAACATATACGCATACTTCTATTAGGGGTTTTTCATTTAGGGTTTACACAAGTTATCATAAGTTATAAAATCTCCCGGCCCCATGAAACATATACGCATACTTCTATTAGGGGTTTCATTTAGGGTTTACACAAGTTATCATAAGTTATAAAATCTCCCGGCCCCATGGAACATATACGCATACTTCTATTAGGGGTTTCATTTAGGGTTTACATAAGTTATAAAATATCCCGGCCCCATGGAACATATACGCATACTTCTATTAGGGGTTTCATTTACGGTTTACATAAGTTATCATAAGTTATAAAATCTCCCGGCCCCATGGAACATATACGCATACTTCTATTAGGGGTTTCATTTAGGGTTTACATAAGTTACAAAATCTCCCCGCCCCATGGAACATATACGCATACTTCTATTAGGGGTTTCATTTAGGGTTTACATAAGTTATAAAATCTCCCGGCCCCATGGAACATATACGCATACTTCTATTAGGGGTTTCATTTAGGGTTTACATACGTTATAAAATCTCCCGGCCCCATGGAACATATACGCATACTTCTATTAGGGGTTTCATTTAGGGTTTACACAAGTTATCATAAGTTATAAAATCTCCCGGCCCCATGGAACATATACGCATACTTCTACGAGGGGTTTCATTTACGGTTTACATAAGTTATAAAATTCCTGGCCCCATGGAACATATACGCATACTTCTATTATCTTCTATTAGGGGTTTCATTTAGGGTTTACATAAGTTATAAAATTCCCCGGCCCCATGGAACATATACGCATACTTCTATTATCTTCTATTAGGGGTTTCATTTAGGGTTTACATAAGTTATAAAATCTCCTGGCCCCATGGAACATATACGCATGCTTCTATTATCTTCTATTAGGGGTTTCATTTAGGGTTTACATAAGTTATAAAATTCCCCGGCCCCATGGAACATATACGCATACTTCTATTATCTTCTATATATTAGGGGTTTCATTTAGGGTTTACATAAGTTATAAAATCTCCTGGCCCCATGGAACATGTACGCATACTTCTATTATCTTCTATTAGGGGTTTCATTTAGGGTTTACATAAGTTATAAAATTCCCCGGCCCCATGGAACATATACGCATACTTCTATTATCTTCTATTAGGGGTTTCATTTAGGGTTTACATAAGTTATAAAATCCGGACTCGCCGAACAAGTGGAAAAGATTGAAAACGTGGAAATGGCCGAAACGAGTGAAGTCCGCAGAGGGTTCACTTTTCTGACTGATTTTTCCAAAAATTCATCTTAGACAACGCTAACTCACAGATGTACCAGAGTCATAAAACACTGCGCCTGCGCAGAGAAATGAGCCTCCCACTGACGTTCATACAACCATTCCGGGACAACCCTCAGTCCTGCCCGTAAAACTACTAGGACCAGATAGTGCTGCAGCATGCTGCAGTTGTTGAGCTCTATTTGGTATTATATAATGTGATCCAATTATGAGCCCACTTGTAACTAGCACTTACCCGCAGATGTCTTTGCTTATGTTGGGGATCGCAGGAGAACCTTGAACCTGGAGTGGGTTTCTATGTGCTGGATGAACTCAGCAGTGAGAAGAAACAGGCGCGAAACGTGTACTGAATGGATTGAGGAGCTTTATGCAGAAGATCATGGTATGATCATGTTTCATCATGTTTCTAGGACAGTTGTTGCACGGCTGGAGGTGTTTTTTTTTGGGGCATTTGCAGCCATAGATGCCAACAAAATCCATTTTTTGTTGACGACCGACTTTCTTCAGTCATCAACATCCTGGTCAGCGAGGGCTTTTCTCGCTCTGCTAGCTAAACACCTGTGAGGGTATGTCCATGATTTTCCTACCATTCCTCCCATTATACAGTTTGAACATGTTTCAAATCACCCAGCACTGCACTCCAACAGGCCGAGAAACGCAAGTCCAGAGGGAGGGCCTTGTCAGCCGCGGCGGGGAAACTCATCATGGATCATCCATGGGATGTGTAAGCCCATGCTGCAATGGTGCAAGGTCAGAAGTCAGGACTCCAAAAGTGATATACATACAGATGGATCATGATATCATTATTATTATTAATAATATATGAGCAATCATAATATATACATCAAAATGCATACGAATACATACGTATACACATATCATATACATATAAATGATTATACACGGACTTCGCTTTCCGGCGCGTCCCTGAAGCCTCATTCCGGGTCCAGGCCAAAGAAAACCGAGCGCCAAGCACCTTGACCCCTCGCGCTGAGAAGAACATCCTGGAAACTTCGCCTCAACGAAGGGCTTGGGGCGATGGGGTGATTTTTCCGGGAAAACATGGACGTTTTCTGTGTTTTTTCTATGCTTTCTATGTTTTTCTATGGTTCTCGTATTTTTTTCTGTGGTTTTTCTATGATTTTCCTATGCTTTTCTACGTTTTTTTTTCCAATGTTTTTTGCTTCCTATGTTTTTCTCATCAAAAAACCATGCGGAACACCAGGGTTTTTCCGGTTAAAACATGTGGATTTCAGATCAACATTTCCACTTTCCATCGGACGGACCTGCTCAGGGTTCGGAGCGAAGTCCCTTTTTTCTAAAACACCAATCCAAAGAGATGAAGAAAGGAGAAAAGGTGGTGATTCTGATAGGTCTTTGGGTCTTTATCCGAAGGTTCCCTCAAGTGGTGTCACCTAACAAACATTTTTAAATGGAGTTGAAGCAACCATACTAGGATATTCAAAGTATGTCAAAGTCAACCCCCAAGAAAGATAGGACAGTTGGAAACCTGGAAAATATGGGGAGACATCATCTATACCATCCTGAAAAAAACAGCCAGTTCTGGGTCCAGTGATGCACAGCTGGAATTAGAAGCTGGATGATACCCATGTTTATCTGGCCTGTTTCAATGCATGTGTTTTTCAACCATGGAAGGACGACCCCATTTGACCAAGTATTATGATTTAGAACGCCCACGTATCTACGTAATTACACATAATTATATATATATATATACATACATAATTATATATATATGTATATATTGCGCATCCATATGTATATTTATTTATTTGTTTATGCAAATGAAAATAAATAGACAAATAAATAAATAGAAACATAAATATAAATATATATAAATAGATATATTATGCATATGCTTTTCTTTGAAGTAAGCACCAACTATAAATCTCTACCCCATGGCCATCGCCAGGAGCCTGCAGCGCCTGCGGAGTCGGAACATCTGCGGCGACGCCAGTGGGCCCAGCTGCATATATGGCATACCTATAATATATACCTATATCATTCTAATAATTATCTACATAGCATGGCTGAGCCTGGCTGGCAATATCATGAAATATCATGAATGATCATACTATAGGTTTTATATGATCTAACTATCTACATCTATATTTAGTATTATCATTAGCACTATAAACTATAATATCATATCATATAGCACTATCTACATCTAGTTGTCCAACTGTTTCCGCCACGTGGCCGCCACGTCCAAGGCTTGTTGGAGGAGGAAAAACGACGGGCCCAAGCGGAGGTCAAACGGGGCACGTGGGAGGACGCGTTGATCCATTGATCACAATCCACAAGGAAAGGTCAAACAGACTATGGAAGAATCATAGATAAACTGTGATTCGTGCCAGATTGGATGTTTTTTTTTCCCGAATGATGTGACTGTTGTAAATTGTCAGACCGGTTTTTACGGTGAAATTTCTTGATCACAGTTAAGGAAAGGGAAAAAAATCACCTACCAATATGGGATACAAGTCGGATTTGTAATTTAGGGTTCAACTTTGCGCTTCCACATGAATTTTCCGGATGCAGCCCCATAGGGACCATGAAAAAATTATGTCCAGATGTATCGCAGCAGGTTTCCAACACTGCTGGTGAAACTATCGACCTGTAGCCTTCAATTCCAGAAAACATCATAGACGATCAACTTGGGCATTCCCTCAGAAACTCCATGCAGAAAGAAGTTGCCCCGTGTCTTCCCCGCTGTCGTCCGCTGGGGCAAGCGTTGCCCTGTGACCAGCCATGGGAAAAACCTTCGAGAGCCTTTCAGAGCAACACATTGCGTGGCTGCTGGAGCAGAAGCTCTTCTTTGTGGCCAGTGCGGCCAATGGAGGGCACGTGAACGTCTCGCCCAAAGGATGGTGGTTGCCGCTGTTGTCGATGGCTGAAATGGATGGCTCGTTTCTTTCTAAATTAACGATTTGAGATCAATTCTGTCTCTAGCTGTAGGTCCAGGCATGTCCAGGCTATGATATCACTTTATCAATCTTTATCATACAATTTTCTTCAATTTGACCTATGATCCTTTTTTTTTGGATCTTATAACTTATCCAATATATCATATCACATCACATATATATATATATATATCATCCCATCAAAACGTCCATCTATTTGGATCCACTAATAGCCGTTGTGCCTCCCGTTGTGCCAGGCTATGTGGAGGGCACCTTTACGGTGCTGTCCCCCCGCTCCGTGGCCTATTTGGATTTCACCGGGAGTGGATCTGAGACCATTGCGCACAGCATGCAGCAGCTGGGCAGCGAAAACCAGGGGAGAAATGTGTGGAAAACCAGGGGAGATAACTGGGAGAATGAAGATTCATGAAGTGAGCTTAATGGCAAAAATACAAAGACTCTGGTGGGAACCACTAGGTTTCTCGAAGGGACCAAGCTTGTTGGGTTGGTTTTGAAGACTTTGAAACTTGACATGTTGTGACAACATTTGGGTGGCCACATTGGTCCCTCTCAAGTGAGCTCGGGAGCTATGCTTAAGAACTGCTTACTGGGGAGGATGGTCACCCAAGTGTGAAGTCATGATATGCATGCGCAACAATTATCAACAGTTCCAATGTTTGTTCCAAAAGGAATATAACTCCCCCTCCAGGCGTTGCTTCTGCGGATTTTGTGTCATTTTATGTCATTTTGTTGTAGCGTTTTGCCAGCGTCCCGCAAAGACTGGTATTAAGACTATTTTGAACACGTGGATTTTGCATGAAGAGGTTTGCCAGGTTGCCATGTTTTTTCTTCTGCTGCTTGGACAATGATTCCAACTAAAAAAGATGATTGGGGACATTCCTTCTGTTGATATGTCAGATGTTATGATCATTGTCCATGTTTTCTGGCATCGCCTTTTCATCCCTGCTTTAACTGATTTTATTGGTGCCTCAACCATGTCACTGCTCACTGGCAAACAAACCAGTTCTATGTTACTCGTACTATTTCGGAAGTGTTGTCTCCATCGTTGACGGTGCATCGCTATTAATCGCCGATATCACCCATTGTTACACATCGAAAGATTCCCAAAAGAACAGCCCAAACTTAGCAGTACTTCTCAAAACACATCGCCAATAAATGCCAATCATATAGGTATCATATAGGTATCACGTGACCCACCCAGAGGGCTCTGCCAGAATCACCCTATACTTTCACGGCAGGAATGGGCGCATCACGGTGATGTTCGTGGCCTTCAAAGGCGATCCAGTGATCCTTCGGCTCTATGGGACCTCCAAGTGCTTGCCGCGGCACCTGCTGGAAGAGAAGGAGAGCTAGAGCTTTCTCGAATGCCATGGAAACCAATGGAAACCATGACCCATGGGACCCATGAATGATGATGTACCATGATGATGTACCATGATGATGTACCAAAAATATCCCAAAATGATGAGTTTCCGTAGCTATTGGTGGTTTACTGAGTTTACTGGAGGCCATCGAGTTATATGGTGAGGTAATTAGTAGCTGACTTAGATTTGAGTAGATGACGACGACGACTTATAATCCAGTTGCAAACCAGTTACTGCGTCTAATCGGGTCTGAAATTTTAATGTGGTAGACCCCGACCCTACAAAATCTTTGTGTGGCTTGCATTTGTACTAAACTACGCCAAACAACAGCACTAACGATGGTTTGTAGATGTTTGCAATTATATATACATTATATTGCTGAGCTGTTGGGCCAATGCCGGATATATATATATATATGGATATATTGCTATAGTTGAATGGGTGAAGATGAACCAACTTGGAACTATACTGCATCACATTGCACTTTGCACAGATGTTGGATCAATTTTG